CTTAAAACTTACTCCTTTCAGTAAGTTTGCAAATACAGTGCTAAAAAAATTAATTTCAGTTCTTTGGCATTACTCTAATTCTCACTTTTTCTGATTTGTAATTCAGGACACTGTTATGCTGAATTACTTTGGGGTAAAATAGGACATAAAATAATCCAGATCAGTCTACAAATAACATCAATTTTTTTTTTTTGTCTCTACCCATCAGTGTTAGCTTATTTATTTATTTATTTATTTATTTATTTATTTTAGAGAGGAGAGAAAGGGAGGGGGGGGAGAGAGAGAGAGAGAGAAACATAGATGAAAGAGAAACACATTGATTGGTTGCCTCCTGCATGACCTGGACTAGGTGCTGGGGATTGAACCTGGAACCCGGGTACATGCCTCAGCTGGAATTAAACCTTCGACCCTTTGGTGTCCTAATCGCTGAGCCAAACTGGCAAGGGCAGTGTTAGCTTTTTTAATATTATGGTTGTAATATACTGTAATTTTCCTGCCCATTGTTAGAAGGGCTTGAGCCTCTGTCTAGGTTACCTCCTAACTGTTTAGACTTGGCCTGATTTCTTCTGGGCTTTTGCTATGTACTCATGTACTATTTACAAAAGTAATTATAGCACATATATGTTGATATAAAATTTGACTAGATCAATTTAAAGAACCAGCTAAATTAGCCTAAGATTGAACTCATCTCAATATTTTATGGCACACAGCAGGTTTGCTGCAGTAATAATAAATAAAAAATTATTGACTAAAAAAAAAAATCAAATGTACCTGGTAGGATCTACCAAGATGCATTTGAATAGAATTATGTAATAGAATCACAGAATTTCAGTGGCAGAAGGAAACCGTAGCAACATTCTAATCTAGTTCACTCCTTTCATTTTACAGAAATAAGATAGAGGGCCATAAAAGTTAAGTGTCTTGCCCAAAGTTATTTCATTTTATTTTCTTTATTGATTTTAGAGAGAGAGAGAGAGAGAGAGAGAGAGAAACATCGATGAGAGAGAACATTGATTGGCGGCCTCCTGCATGCCCCCCACTGGGGATCGGGCCCACAACCTGGGCATGTGCCCTGACTGGGAATCAAACCGTTGCCCTCTTGGTGCATGGATCGATGCTCAACCACTGAGCTACACCCTCCAGGCTTGCCCAAAGTTATATATAGGTTTATTTGTGACAGAGCTGTTAAGGAAACCCAAGATTTACAACTCTATTCTATATTTTTCTGACTATAACACAGTTACCTTTTACACCTAAACCACTTATTCATTCTGACTTCACTGAGCAGTGTAGTATCTCAAACAATTTAACTTTGTTATTCAACTTTTATAGTTAATTAAATGATTTGACTTTTCTGAGTTAAGTATAATTATTATTTTAATTGGTTTGTTTCATAATGTTTCTTGTTACTATTTGTTGTAGCTTAAAACAGAATTTGACAAATTGTTTGAAGATTTAAAAGAAGATGATAAAACTCATGAAATGGAACCAGCTGAGGTACTTAGCCAGTATTTTATATTAAAAAATATATGTGTGTGTGTGTGTGTGTGTATGTGTGTATACTATTAATCTATACATTTTTTTATCATAAGATTGGCTGTTTTCCAGATTCTATGTGGGGGAAAAAGAAAGGGTTTATTGTGCCTCTATTTATGACATTTCTTTAATTTTTAGGCTATTGAAACACCATTGCTTCCACATCAAAAACAAGCTCTAGCTTGGATGGTTTCTCGGGAAAACAGTAGAGAACTTCCACCATTCTGGGAGCAGCGAAATGACTTGTACTATAACACAATAACCAACTTTTCTGAGAAGGATCGACCAGAAAATGTTCATGGAGGAATTTTAGCTGATGATATGGGTTTGGTAATTATCCTTTTTCTTGAGATATTAAAATTTTATTTTGTAATTATGATTTTATAGAAAGTAATTTTGAAATAGATAGAGATAGGAGTATGTTGGTGCCAGTTTGGAACTAGATTTCACTTTCAGTGGAGAACACTGTTTTTCCTGTGGTTTTCACTTAAAATAATGGTAAGCTTTTTTTTTTTGGTACAGTTAAGAAACTATTAAAATAATTAGTGTAATGATAGTAACATGTTTCTCAATTTTTTTAAAAAAGAAAGACAGTGTTACATAAAATTATTTGTAGTATTTCACAAATGTTATGATATGCAGAGTATTAAATGTACATCAATGATTTTTACACCAGCAGTTTTATACTTTTTGATCTTAGTCACTGTTTACACTCTTAAACTCTTGAGGAGCCCAAAGAGCTTTGTTTTTGTGGGTAGTATCTATTAGTATAAATACCATAAGTATTTCTAACATTAGACATCAAACAGAAATTTTAAATTATTAGTTTAAAAACAACAGTTAATAAACTTACTACTTGTTAACATGAAGAGCATATTTTTAAATAAAAAGTATTCTAAAACAAATGCAATTTTGATACGACTGACATTTAGTTTTGTAAATCTCTTTGATGTCTGGGCTGATAGATGACATCTGAATTTTTGTATGTGCTTATTCATTTAGTATGTTTTGGTATGTGTTTTGGTTAAAATATATAAAGAAACTTAATCCTTACCCAAATATGTAGTTGGAAAAAGGAGGAGTGTTTTAATAGCTTTTTTACAGAACTATAGATAATGTTCTTTGATATAATAACAAAATGAAGCAAGTATTATTAGTTTATTAAAGATTAGTAGTTATACTATGGAACTTAAAAATCTTATCAGTGTACTTCTTATACTCTATTTAAATCCATTAATGTAGCTTGCACATTGAATTAGATGGATATTTTACTATGCATTGATTTTATAACATCAGGCATTGTCCTTTTGGAAAATACTGGTTCACTGAGTTATACAGATCTGTCGAATGTTGATGCATTTCATTATATTATATCAAAAGTTTTCATTCACTAATAATACTGCTGATCTTATTAGGCATTTGTAGTTTGGAAAGCTTCTGTGTTCATGGTATTAGATGCAAATTTTCCAATATTCTGATTTTTGCTTGAAAGCTGAAGTTTTATCATTAAGAACAAATGCTGCCAATTGTTTCCCTTGAAGATTATAGCCTCACTTTGTTCATTTTTCTCAGGAAAATTTTTGCCACTGTCATGAACAACTAGTTGTTGGTCATTCTTTCAAGTAAAAGTGGTGATGCAGGAACAAGTGGTGATGCATGGCGATTAGCTGAGCTTGAACTCAGTCTCACAGTGATTTTTTTCCTAGATAACCCTCATATTTTGGTATCAACAGAAGTATTTTCTATGTATTTCTCATCTTGTTATATAGACTGTTTTAAAAGATGTGTACTTAAGAGGCAAGATTTAATAAAATTAATGTGTACTTTTTCAAGAACATTTTTAACATTCTTTAAAAAATTTTTTTTTCCTTTATTGATTTTACAGAGAGAGGAAGTGAGAGGGAGAGAGAGATAGAAACATGGGTGAGAGAGAACATCAATTGGCTGCCTCCTGCATACCCCCCACTGGGGATCCGGCCCACAACCTGGGCATGTGTCCTGACTGGGAATTGAACCAGCGACCTCTTGGTGCATGGTTGATGCTCAACCACTGAGCCGCACCGGCCAGACAGTTTTTAACATTCTTAAAGTGTAACTGATATTAAAATTTTTTTTTTTTTAAGTGTATGTGGCAGTTAATACAATAACCAGTATGAGTGAGAAAGTAGTACTGCCTGCTTTGTTTCATGCTAAGGCCCTAGCAGTTTTGCCCACCATTGCTTTTTGTGGTATTACTACAGATAAAGCCTTAGAAATATTATGAAAATACTTCTTTGAAAATTGCTGCTTTACTGCTTTAAAATTCCCAGAGATTTATTTGTGTTGCTAATTATAAATTCAACTATGGAAAATAATAAAAAATTGCATGTTTTCATTTAAGAAAAACCTGTAAGATATGTCATGTTCTTTGTAGTTTTTAAGTGTTGGAATTATATTTAAATGAAATTTCATAAAATGGTAATCTCATGTGTATATTGGAATTACTAATTTTATTTTTTTGTTGTTTCATTGTTAGTCCTCCTCACCCAAGTATATTTTTTCCATTGATTTTTAGAGAGTGGAAGGAATGGGGGGAGAGAAATAGATGTGAGAGACACATTGATTGGTTGTCTCCTATACATGTCCCAGTGGGGCCAGAGATCAACTGCAACCCAGGTAGTATGTGTGCTTGACTGGGAATTGAACCCGAGACCCTTCGGTGTGCATGTCTCTGCTCTAACCACTGAGTGAGCCACACTGGCCAGGGTGATTACTAATACTTTTAAATTAGCTTTGAATTATATAGCAAGCAAAAGTTGTAGTTTCATGATAAAGTTATTAATTCAGGGTTAAATGTAAAATCTTAGAACAGCAGTCATTCAATAAAATGACATTTCTCAGAAATGGTTATAGTATTTTATAAGACTAAATCATTTAATGATTTCTAATAATGCAATGTGGGAAAGTATTTCTTAACTTAATGACACGTTTTTCATTAATATGTAAATTATTTAATATAATAATCAGTATACTTCTGTGGCTTTGAATGCTGTTTGATATTTGCCTAATTGATTTTAAAATTGGTTTTGTAATGTTTTCTGGTCAACTGATTTTTAGATTCTGACCTTTTGTCTTTTAAAAACATTTTAAAGGGCAAAACTCTTACAGCTATTGCAGTAATTCTCACCAACTTCCATGATGGTAAACCTCTTCCTATTGAAAGAACGAAAAAAAATCAACTGAAGAAGGTAAAGTTTTAGTAAATGTTTTCTCTGAAATCTTTGGTTTAGTGTTAAACCTTTTAATTTGGTTATTAAGAAATATTTGCCAAAAAATTGATAATGTGCAGTGTTTTTAGAGATGTCATGAGTGGCCTCTCTCATGTGTTGCTGATAAGAATGAAAATCGATACCTGATTCTTGAGGGCATTTTGGTAATTTGTATCAATAACCTTGAAAATGTTTATAATCTTTGACTCAATAATGCCATTTTAAAGAAATTGCCTAAAGAAGTTACCAGAGGTCGGGGTTCGGCTGCCTGAGAGATCCTGAAAGCCCTGGACATCATCTCTTCCCATCTCAAGATGGATAACAAGAAACGCCTGGCCTGTGCCGTCATCCGCTTCCTACATGACCAGCTGCGGCACGGAGGGCTCTCATCTGATGCCAGGAGAGTTTGGAAGTTGCAATCCAGTGCCTGGAGACTGCTTTTGGGGTGACAGTGGAAGACAGCGACTTTGCACTTCCTCAGACTCTTCCAGAAATGTTTGAAGCTGCAGCAGGCAAGGGCCAGGAGATGCCACAGAACCTGAGGAGTCCCGAGCGAACCCCACCTTCGGAAGAGGACTCAGCTGAGGCAGAACGCCTCAAAACTGAAGGAAATGAACAGATGAAAGTTGAGAACTTTGAGGCCGCCGTGCACTTCTACGGGAAAGCCATCGAGCTCAATCCTGCAAACGCCGTTTATTTCTGTAACGGAGCTGCAGCCTACAGCAAATTGGGGAATTACACGGGGCCGTGCAGGACTGCGAACGGGCCATCTGCATAGGCCCTTCCTACAGCAAAGCATATGGGAGCATGGGCCTGGCGCTCTCCAGCTTGAACAAACACACGGAGGCCGTGGCCTACTACAAGAAGGCCCTGGAGCTGGACCCCGACAACGAAACATACAAGTCCAATCTCAAGATAGCGGAACTAAAGCTGAGAGACACACCCAGTCCCACGGGAGGGGTCGGCAGCTTTGACATCGCGGGCTTGCTGAACAACCCTGGCTTCATGAGCATGGCATCAAACCTGATGAACAACCCCCAAGTTCAGCAGCTCATGTCTGGGATGATTTCCGGCAGCCACAACCCCTTGGGGACTCCTGGCACCAGCCCCTCGCAGAATGACCTTGCCAGTCTCATCCAGGCTGGCCAGCAGTTCGCTCAGCAGATGCAGCAGCAGAAGCCAGAGTTGATTGAGCAGCTTCGAAGTCAGATCCGAAGTCGGACGCCCAGTGCCAGCAATGATGACCAGCAGGAATGACCACCCACCCATTCCAGTGCCATTGGGTTCTTCCCCGCTGACTGGATCCTCCACACGTTCTGCCATTTTCTCCCATTGGATTGCCAGAGAGGGAAAAAGAAAAAGAAAAATTGGACCTGCATGAGACGGATTTTTATGCTTTTTATTTTTTCCCTTCACCCTCTCCTCCCTTTTTGTACTCCCTCATGGTTCCCGGACCCTAATCGAAATAGAGCCAGCAAGCTGTGAACGCAGACCAGCACCGATCTCCAAAAACCCAGTCACTAAAGTATTTTCTAGAAAAAAAAAAAAAAAAGTTACCAGAAATGTATTTTTTCCAAAGATAAAAGTATAAGTCCTCCTCCCCATAGTGTCATTTTAAATTAAAAATGAAATACTACCTCTCAGTAAGGTAACAGTTCAATTATAATGTAGATATAAAATGTAATACTGTTACACAAAACTACAGAATTCTATTTTTGAAGAATTCTTTCATGATACTTTTTAGTTAAAAAGGGGGGTGGCAGGGCCAGGTAGGTGCACATCTGTGTATAGTGTTTGAGTCTTCATTTTGTAAATACATTTTTATGTATGTCTAAGTGTAAGTTATACACTGTATGTGCCATTAATAGTGATAATTATGTCCTAGTGATGAGAATATGGGTGACTTTTGACATTTAATTTATATATACTTATATATATAACATATGTATGCCTACTATATTTATATTTCTAAGAATGAAAGTGAATTTGTTTTATGAAAAAAATAAATGTTATTAAAATGAAAGCAAAATTTTTATTTTAGATTTCAAAGAGATTGCACACCAGTTTCCTGCCACTGCTTATTGAGATTCTGTTTTATTAATTTCTGTACTTAGTTGCATTTCCTTCTTTGTACTTTTATTGGGAGTTTAACTCTGTTATTAACATCTGAGATTCAATTCCCTACTGTGAATAGTCCAATGCTTTACATCCTGTTCTTTTCACATTTAGTTACTAAAATGAAAGAATAGCATCTAAGACTATTTACAGCTTCAAAGTCAGTTATCAATTTAAAACTTATCTATTATCAGTAAAACTTTTTCTTCCATTAGAAGGGGATGGATCTTCTTTTAACCACATTTTTAGTAAATCCTAACTGTAATGGGATTTTATAACATGTTTAAAATTATGTTTTTTAAAACAAAAATTAAATATATTTTCTTAGCCCTAATTTTCAGCAAAAATTACTTGTACTCCTGTCCACCAATCCTGCCCTCCATTCTGAGGTTTTAATTTACAATATGACAACAACATCACCTACCTTTCTTTTTAAACTGCAAGAATTAATTTAATTAAACCCCATTATATTTGTCATTCCTACCTACAGAATCAAGTCAAGAATTAGACATAAGATGGGAGGAGCCCTTCCTTTCTGGACTCAGTTAAAAGTATTCTCATGAAGAAGTGTGATGTTTTACTGTTATGAAGTTTTTGTACTCGTGTACATTGATGCGTTTTGAAACAAAAGGGTACACGTGGAGGGAAGAGGAAAAGTCCGCTTGACAGGAAAATGCTGGCAGAGTGAGGGGAGAGGGCGGCGAGGGCAGCCTCGTGAGAGACCTGGTGTTTGCCGACGGCTCGTGTTGAGTGTGTAGTCTGAGAATTTCTTTTAGTCCCATAGTGACTCCTCCCATTTCATGAATGTTTCTCCTAGTAACTAATGTGCCATTTATAACTGAGGTTTGCTTTTGTATTCCTTTTGAAAGGTAAAGACCAGCTAGTTTTCTTTTTCATAGTACCTGTGAAAAACTTTTAATCAATTTGTGTAATTTTTGTTTCACTTAATGCACCTTTCTCCTTTGCTCCAGGGTAGGGTAACGATTTAAACAGTCTTTATTATGTAAAATAAAGGAATATAAAATAGGATGCATTTTAAGCTTACTTAAAACTGACAGCAATACCATAAGAAATGTCTTTTCATCCAGGAATGTAGTATTAACGGTGAATCTGTGAAACTTGGAGGGAACAATACCAGTGAAAAGACAGATGGACTAAACAAAGGTAAACTTTAATTTTGAATATGACCCCATATTTCATCGAGATTTTTCTAATTTAGTTATGTAATTCCAGCTCTGGCTCTGCACTGTACAAAAACTTTCTGTCTCTTTTTCTGAAGAAGTTCATGAGGGCTGATAGTCAGGAAATACTCCATCCAGGAGGTGGTGATTGGGTGATAGTATACCAGGCAGAGGAGCTGAGGAAGAGCATTTCTCGTTGAGAAACATAGCCTGTGAAAGGCCTGAAAAACATGGTATTTATAATGTGATGTGCACGGATAGCGGCACATGAGGAAGCTAGGTTGGAAACAAATTCTGAAGTCAGAGGATAAATAAAGAGATCTCTGGATTTAGTAGTTATATGGCTGGATTAAAAACTTCACAAAATTAATTTCTGAAGATTGGTTAGAGCAGAACAGGCTGAAAATATTTTAAAGTAATAGTAGGTGAAGAATTGGAAATACAACGGTGTGCTATTTGTACTTTGGTATGTTTGAAATAGGAGAGATAAACAGAAAAAAGCAGTTGGAAAGGGTTGCAGAATTGAGGACTTCTTTATTTGGCCTGTTTTTTTGTTTAAGAAAGAAATCCATGGCCCTGGCCAGTTTGGCTCAATGGTTAGACCGTCGGACCATGGACCAGAGAGTCCTGGGTCCGGTTACTGCTAAGGGCACGCACCTCCTTTGCAGTTTGTCCCTGGCCCCGGTTGAGGTCGTGTGGGTGGCAGCCACTTGATATGTGTCTCTCACATGGATGTTTCTCTCTTTCTCTTCCTCCCACTCTATCTGAAGATAAATGTAAAAATGTCCTCGAGTGAGGATAACAAAAGGAGAGAAATCCATGGATAGGAAGATTTTGAATACAATTTGTAGGCCTGTGGGAGGAAATGAGATCAAGAGAATAGGCAAATGAGTTAGCATTAGAAGGAAAGAAAAGTATGGTTCAGGAAAAATGGAGATATTTGAGGGAGTAAAATGGTTGAAAAATTTGGAGTTTATAGAGGATGACATCTGATTTTCTCTGTAACATGATGCACGTTATCTGCTGGGAGTAAAAGGGGTTAAAAATCTAGGCAAAGGTCCAGTGTAGATCATTCTGGTGAGTGGGCAGGGAGACTGATACATAAAGGAGTTGCTAAGTGACACGAGGTGACAGCTGAGACTTGAAAATGTAAATTTGTAATGCCATCTACTCACTGTTATTTCCAGCAGCTCTCAGCTGCCTTGGTACAGCAGGAAGTCCAGTCATTGTGCACATTGCCTGGGTGACTACAGGGAAAATACTGGGTACAAAAAAATTGAAGGTGCTTTTTAGTGAGAAAAAACTACGATAAGAAACAAGTAGAGTAGCTGGCTGATTGAAAGAACAGGAATGAAGATACTGAGAAGTTGAAAATCAATAAAGAAATTTAAAAAATAAGTTGTAGTATTGAGTTGGAAAACCAGGGTTTTAAGAAAGATACTACTAGTCTAAGAATTTACTAATATTTTGTATATTTGTCCTTTTCTTTGAAATGGAAGGATCTAGATGTAGCGGAGAACCCAGTATTTCAGATGTCAAGAGAAAGAATAAATATCCTAAGTCAGAATTGTGTAGCTTCCGCTCCAAAAGGTAAACTCTTATGGTTTGATTATATGTAATATATTTATTTAAACTCTTTCTCCATTTTTTATATATAGGAGAGATGACCATTATATCTGAGTTACATAATGCTTTTAAATACATTCTTTTATTTGAAACTGACAAAAATCACTGTGACTTAGGCAGGTAGACTCTTCTCCTTTTACAGGTGAAGAAAAGTAGTAATCTATAGAATAAGTGAATTGGTAACTTTTTTTTACTTGTCTGAAGGTGACTGGCAGCAATGGCTAGTTAGTCATGCTGCTGACTTACCTCCACAGGCTTGTTAGCACACCAGTGCGTTGATCATTTTTAATCCTCTTTCTACCCCTTTTTTCTTTCATACAGGATCTAAGATCTAGCTTCTGGGTTTCTATTTTTGTTAAACTCTAGAAGAGCTTTATGAATCTGAGGACATGAAACTGACATTTATTGGATGCTGCCCTCTTTGCTCATCTCACTCCTCACTTGGCGTTAGTGGGGATGAGACATGATGAGGTCATCTGTGGGGAGTATCACGTTAATGTCGTCTAGAGGGAACAGTCGTTAAAACATAATGTCTCTCTGATCTCAGTCTGAATCTGCTAACATCGCAGATGCTATTTGCCTCTGAAGCAGATGTAAACACTTGGCTTTGGTTGTGTTGTGTCCACCGTCAGTACTTGTTGCGTGACCTCAGCTCTGAGTGTCTTTAGCTGTTTCACCAACAGAGATGCAGAGCTGGGGCTCTGTTAATTGTTCTTTATCATTGAAACCTGCATGTACTGAGCACAGAACCAGGACTCAGTTTTCCTCTCAAATATCAAATCTTACAACTCTGAGCTGACCAGGAAACTGGTTAACAGCCTATTAGGTGGACCAGATCAGATGAAAGGACATAGAAATAATAACAATGAGGACGTGGGAAAAAGTAGAAACAGCCAACACACACATCACACCTCATGCATGTGCTCTCACTGCACAGCAGGCACTGTTCCAGGGCTTTGTTTGCACGACAGATGTGACCCAGTGGTGGCTGTGTCTTTGTTTCTGTTTTCCAAACGGAGAAACTGAGGTGCTGAAGACTAGACATCTTACCTGGAGTCACATAGCAAGTATGTGGCACAGTGGGGGTTTGAATCTGTGCGGTCTGACTCCATAGCCCGTTGTTCTTGGGCGGTTAACCACTGTACTGTACTTTTCTACACAAAACTTAAAAATTTTTTATTGTGAAAGAATTATATTTTTTCCTTTTAGCTGCTTATTTCATTATATTGGAAGTGTTTTCCTTGATACGAGTCATTTCTTTCATTTCTTTTTTGTTCTATTTTTATAGAAGTGTTTTAATTGAATTGAACTCAGTATTGAAATGACTACTATTTTAGAATGGGTAATTTTTTCAAACTTATTTTAATAATAATGGCAGTGCATTTTGTATCATAAATGCATCTGGTTATGAAAGCAAGATGCAATATACAGATCATGTATGATAGAAATGTACACTTGAAACCTATATGGCCCTATTAACCAGTG